CATTTATTATTCAGGCTCTTGTGAGGTTAGGATTAATATTATTCGATAATATAGTTCTCATGCGCAGTCAACTTACTAATTCACGCCCTAATCCATTTTATTTCTATAGAGGTTATGATCAAATTTGAAGATAATAAAGATCTAAGTATAATTCCGACATATATATTATGATTTATGGTTGTTAATGGTAGACGAAAACGGAAAAATGATATTACATTTAACTTGATTAATTGGAAGGTTTAGTTTGGATCTACCATTACCATTACTATCGAGATGCCTACAGTATATCCTTTCCAAAAATATAGAGAATTATGTAAATTTCTCCTTCGAAAGCATTTACTGGGGGCAATGAAGCCCTTCTTCTCCTATTATATACTAAATAAACAATCTAATTCTAGGAAGAGTTTCGAATACTGAAACTTAAAGGAAGGGCGGTTAGAACAAAGCAAGGGATGACACTTTCAATGCGCGAAATCCATTTCGAGTTAGAGTGCGAAACTTCTTGCTGCAGCCGTTTTATTTGCTGCTTGCTACTTTCTAAAAAGGAAGATAAGATGAATGAATGAATAGATTGCATTTTTTTTCTAGTTCAATCTATAGTCTAGATTCCATTCCCTCGATCCACTCTCATTTAAATGATGGGATTGGGCCATACCAACCTTCACTTAGTCTTAATAAAATATTGCTTCATATCTTCAAGGATTGGGAGGAGGTGGCGTAAAAAGGAAGGAAAAAGGAATTCTAAATCCGTCCCTTCCCACAGAATCATCGGGCTTGACTTTTCTTACTTTCCCAACCCCGCTACTGTAAAAAGAACTCTTTTGTTTTGAGACTATCTAGTCGCTATGGTTTGCGGGAAAACTCTTCTCTCTCTGGTCTCACTTCAAGTCCTTCTAGAAGTAAATAAAGTAAATGCTTATTCAACTACGGCACTGTTGGACAACCGACCGGATTCAAGCCCTAGCCCCTCAACTCGGACGGACTTGTGGAAATCCTCGAAAACAAGTATTGCTCAACTCACCTATCTATAACATAGAAATGTTGCATCCAACCCTGGAACGAGAGGTAAAGAATAGGCTACCATACGGGATGAGACGACTTCATTCTTGGCTTTCATCCGTACGCTTAAGAAAGATAAGGGATTGGATTTCATACCTTTTATTTAGAGCTCCGTCGTTCCGACTGGAAAATGTAACCTTCCACCATACGTAAACCAAACCTCCTTGCTTTCTGGCTTTTCCTTCCAATAAACATCAGGGTGCGAATCTGAGTAGTTCCTTGCTCAAGACCACGAAGCAAGAGCGAAGTAGAACCGGTTTTCAATTCATCAAAACTCTTGAAAAGTTCCTTTGCTTTTACAGCGAAAGCACCTGCCAACAAATTGGAACCATAATCCCCTCCATCTGCCTCGCACCATGCTTGATTTCATGTTGAGCCGACTCCAGTCCGACGTCAATCCCCGGGCGCTGAAGGAGCTCCTGAACAGACTCCAAAACGTTCGGGCACGATCTCAAACTTCTAGGGCGGCAAGGAGATTCCTCGACGAGGACTAGTGAGGCTATAGTACTTACTATGCATAGGACTACAAAGGTGAAAAGACAGGATGTATTCTGACGAAATGCCTTGGATGTGATGTGATCGGCAAGAGAAAGATGGAATTTGGTATAAGGAAGGAAATCAAACGCGTTGTTTGAGAAGGAAAAAGGGTAACCTGGTTTCCCACCTTTGGAATAGGGCCTTCTTGTAGTCAGGGTCTCCTTTGGTTGTATGCTTGCTACGAGGTCACTCATT